GAGGAAGTAAATCAACCTGGAAATCAACCCCCGCACCTGTGATTACACGCACTAACCACTCAGACCTCTTGCTTTAGAAAGGCCATGATAAAGTATATTCCAAGTTTGGCCTTCTACAGCAAATGAATTACCGACGTGTTAGCCAAATGAAGCTCTTCTGGATTTAATCATCGCATCTAGCACTCCTTTTGGAAAGCTTGGCAGTAGTCGGAATGCCCAAAGCGAACACGAGGAAAAAAGCTGAAGGTTAGAGTATCATTACTTTTTGCACATCGACTGCAGTTGGAATAAAACAACACAATATTACTTACACCTTTCCGTTCATGACCACCGAAAGGAAAGTAGCACAGCTCACTTGATGATGTCTACCCAGGTTGTATTCCCTGCCTTGTCGAAGTATTTTCCGGGGTGATCTTCACACCCAATAAATATAATGCATGTAACAAATGGATAGATGGAATGATCACATCATGTCATTCTCTCCATGTAACTTGAGTTGAGAAGACCGGTGGAAGCTCTAAAAATGCGTCTATAGAGAATGAGCCCTAGTGTGTGTGAAGGGAGATGGCATCTAATACCTGTTTTGGCATAACCACCACACTCACGCTCCACCGGCAGAAGCAAAACAAAACATGTTATGATGATGGTAGTGTCATCAAAGCCCAAGCATTTTCAACCTTTCACATTTTCCTCCACCAGTGACCATTCACACCGCCGCCGCGAGTAAAAAATGGCATGGCCCCTGCGAGCCATGGTCACTCACTATCCTTTTTTCCCTGATCCACGACGCTACCGAACCCAAGACCTAATCCACCCAAGTTGTGACAGGGCAGGGTTTCCTTCATGTGAGGAGCCTGCAAACAACAATTTCTTCCCTTTTTAAATTCTCCCTCATGTTTAGCCCAACGGGTCACGGAGCTAAATGCCGGGACGTGTGGGTACGTACGGTAGTACCATCTTCTCATTCTCTCATTCACAATCATACACGGCTTCTAGCTCAAAGGCCCAAACCTGTGTGCGCTGCCCCATAGAGACAACGCTCGCTCGCTCAACAGGCCTTAGCAAGGGAGGGATGAGCCACGACAGTAATAACAGCAAGTTCTACCCTCGTTCCCTCGACACCGCTAAATGATAATACCATAATCAGATTTGTATTAAAGTCGGCGCCGCTACTACCCACTACGTCTGATTATGCTTCTAAAGGTCTCCATCCAGCGGTCAGCTACATATTTCTTGCCCTGCTGCGCATCGATTTTTCGAACATTTCGATCTCACTTGCAACTCTTTTCTTTTCTTCTTTCACAGTAAAGCAAAGACCTGCTGCACGTATTTGCTTTTCTCTAACTACATATTGCTCATGCATCTACTAAAATCAATCATATAAAGTTTGATTGCACAACATAAAGCAAAACTAGAAAATAGATTTGGAAGGAGCGAGCAATATATAAACATACTTCCACCTCTTGAAACGTCGACTTTTTCACAAATTTTACTTTCTCGTCAAGTTCTTTCAAACGATCAATTCTACTACGACATTTATCTAAACAACCAATTCAACCTACAACTCCCTATCGAAGCTTCACAGAAGAGGTAGCGGACATGCAATCCGCGGCAGGACAGACGGGAGCGTGGAGGCGGACCCCTCCATTCCCCACGAAGCAAATGACAATCCTGGGTACGTTTGTGTAACTATCATTGTGACTTATACAGCAGTATTGCAGCAACTATTCCAACGGTACAATCACTGATATCCATACTCTAGCACTATGTCGGATTTGCGAGCCCATTGCTTTCATGAGCATTTTCCCCTATATATATTTCATGGTCAAAGATTTCCACATTACCGAGAACGATGCTCAAATCTTCATGTACTGTGGCATGGTCACATCGGCTTTCGCTTTCGCAGAATTCTCGTCTGGAGTGGCTTGGGGTCGACTGAGTGATAAAATCGGACGAAAACCCGTTCTGCTTACCGGGCTTGCGGGTACGGCTTTGAGTATGCTCATCTTTGGATTCTCGCCCAATCTGCCAACAGCATTATTGGCACGCGCGCTGGGTGGTTTATTGAACGGGTATGGATCCATGCTTCCGCCCCCCTTTTATTGTTTGAGGCAATAAATGCTGACGAATTGCTTTTTCTAGAAACATTGGCGTTTTACAGACTACTGTGGCCGAGATGGTGACGGTGAAAGAACATCAGCGTAAGTGATCTATCACTTTGGGTTTCGGAGCCTCGTTCTGACAAGTCATAGCTCGCGCATATACAATCATGCCATTCGTTTGGTGTCTCGGGTGAGTTCGAACTAGCTGTCAGCTCTTGTCAGCTCTCAACAATTTTTATACTAATGTTGCAATTTGCAGATCCATATTAGGCCCGTCCCTTGGAGGCGCACTGGCGAGACCCGTAGTCAATTGGCCAGGAACATTTCAGCAAGGATCGATTTGGGAAAAGTTCCCTTACTTACTTCCCAATCTCGTTTGTACAGTCGTGGTAACTTGCGGAGTAATTGTCGGGATCTTGTTTTTGGAAGAAACGCACTCGGAGAAGAAGTACCGTCGGGATCCCGGATTAGAAGCAGGAAAATGGATTCTCAGTAAATTCACACGATGCGCCGAATTAAAGAATAGTCGATGCGAAAAGGTGGCAGAGTCTGACGAGATACTTTTGTTGTTGAATGGTGATTCAGAGGATCAGCCGCCAGGATATCGAACAACCCAAGGGTCACCTACTCTTGCATCGACTGTGACTTCTAAGGACCCGCAGGAAATCCTGGATTTGAATGCACATGATCAATTTGTTGTTCCTGCAAGAACTAAACCTGCAGCAACTAAGGCTTTTACGAGACAGGTCGTCATCAATATTATCGGTTATGGTATCTTGGCTTAGTAAGTTCACCCGTTTCACGTTTTCCACCTGCACGACCATACGAGTTGAGTAACTGACCCGAGATTTCCAGCCACACAATGACTTTCGATTCCATGCTTCCAACAATGCTTTCCTACAAAAAAGAGGATGATGCTCCACCATTCCCAGAACCTCAGTTGCCTTTCAAATTCGTCGGTACATATGGAATGAGCTCTTCAGATGTCGGCGTGGTTCTTTCGGTTCAAGGATTATATTCGATGATTGCTACAATTTTCTTATTCCCAATTGTGGTTCGACGACTGGGAGCTTTGAACTTGTTCAGAACCATGGCAATTTCGTATCCAATCCTCTATATTGTAACACCCTACTTGGTCTTACTTCCGGAGAATCTCAAAATGATTGGTTTGTATGCGGTTGTCATCTGGAAATGCACTTTCTCGACAATGACTTATCCAAGCAATGCTATTCTGTTGACTAATTCGGCACCATCGCTTTTGATGTTGGGAACTATCAACGGTGTTGCAGCATCAACCGCTAGTATTTCCAGAGCCTTTGGCCCGACGGTCTCAGGTTTCCTCTTGTCGGCTGGTGCTAGCTTAGGTTACTCTGGTCTTGCGTGGTGGTGCAGTGCTATCATTGCTATGATTGGTGCTGTTATCAGTCTCTACATGACTGACAAGGGAGGAAGAATGGATGTTGACGAGAAGAGTGAAGAGGACCATGAGCAAGCATTCGATGATGAAATGCTTGATCATTGTGCTCCTGATACTGGCATCGCCGCTGGCGCCGAGCCAAGACACATCACTGTCGAACATTAGACGACACTGCCGTCATCTTTCTTATACATTCACGACTTATGAGATTTCTTTTCGAACAATTCAATTCTTGAAGACCGCTTTCGGGAGGGCATCTGTATAAAAATCATTTTGGGCCATCTTGGGCAATTTCCGTGGGGTTCTTATTTCGACGTTAGATATCCCCTCATGCTTTTGAGCGTTATACATCACGGTGATGGTATTTTATGTTAGGTTTTATTTTGGGCGTCATTGGGGTTACGGTGCTATACAGAATTGGGTCGTTTGCGAAAACGGTATTTAGTTCTTTGCACTACAAGGACGGTAGGAGTTTCGACAAAAGGGAAATATCATTATCGCACTACCTACTAGGGATGGACCGCCGGACTGCGGTTCCAATTGCAGATTATTTTTCGGCTGACTTGGAAGAATCAACGGCTGGCCTGGCTTGGCTTGCATATTATCTGGCGTTTAGGTAGTTTTATGATTCCTGTCGATGACATGGGAGGCTACTTGTTTATATATCAATTCTTCAAATGATATGATTTGAACAAACCTTGAATGAATGTCTGAAATGAAAGATGTAATTTCGTCCTTCATTGATCAATTTTACCGACTACTTAGTGTGATGCCCCTTTTACTACCCTCTGAAAGCAAGTAATCCTCGATTAGATATCCCACGCCGCAGAGCAAAGCTTTACTCGATGCTATCGAGTCAACAGTGCTGATAGAGTTCCGTACCCACCTTCCGTCTACAAATAAGATGAACCAGGCATGGAATAATCATTGGATGATGATTTTCAATTGGTCGAAGCTCTTATCATTCAGCTCCATCAATCGCCTATCTATCTATCAGTGCCATTGAGTGGGAGTGGAATTATCGACCCTAGCCTGAGCGAAATGTTCAATCCATGGATTTTTTTTGCATCTACTCTAGGTGTGTACATTTTGAATCAAGGGTAAAGGTAAACCCCACGCATATTCTAGAGGAAGAGGCGGCTCTGTTCAATAATGTTACATTGATACCAAAATATCTCTCGAGCACTGGAAAGGAACGTTCTTTGGAAATTGCGATAACGAAAACATCTGACATTTTCGCCGAGAGGCCGGAAAGATTACGGAGCTGTCGTATTGGAGAGCGGGAATTTAACATTACACAATCGCAAAGTCGGAGGTTGAGAAAGAGCAGGATGAGAGAGAATAGACGGATTTAAGGGCCATTACACTCAATCGCATGCGCGATTCCGATTTTCAACGACAGAATCCATCCTCGATATTTTCCCATTGCGAGGAAGATACATCGAATGCGCATTCGACGACATTAAGAAGACGATAGAACGATGAACCCCCACTCGCCGCCTACGAGCGCAAGTGGTTACCCGAACAAACGAGCGAGACAAAGTCCTCCAGAGCCTCCTAGTATATCTGCTGCGCTAGTTAAGAATGATAGCCCAAAGATTGCAGCAGAGGAAATTGTACCTGCGGAACCAATACTAGTGAAGGCTGAGACAACTGCTGGTGGTAAGGCGGGACAGAGTAGCAGTTTTCGCAATGTCAGCGCGTGTAACAGATGTCGATTGAGGAAGAATAAATGCGATCAGAATTTGCCCAGTTGTGCGAGTTGCGAGAAGGCGGGGCATAAATGTGTGGGCTATGATCCGATCACCAAGAGGGAAATTCCTAGGAGGTGAATTTTCTTATCTTTTTCTTTTCATGAGAATTGGTGATGGAATATTGAATGCTAATACCTGACTATAATAGTTATGTGTACTATCTCGAGACGAGGACAGCACACCTCGAATCCTTGCTAATACAAAACAACATTCCATTTGCGCCAGCCGAAGTTCTGGAACACTCCCCAAAGCCAGGGACAGATCCTGCGGCAGTACAAACTCCCAGTGATGATGGCAGATCGGCATTCAATGGGGATACGGCACTTGTGCGAAAAAAAGCGCAAGATGAGGCGACATGGAACAAGAGGCAGGACGAATCCGAGAGGGTGAACAAACTGATGTCAAATATTGAGAGTGTTTCGGTTCAAGGTGCTTCAGACAAGAGATACTTGGGCTCAACATCCGACATATCGTTTGCAAGAGTGGTGTTTGCAGCAGTGAGATCTTCAGTGTCTGGTGCTGCTAGTGATCATAGTGGTGTGAGGCCTTCACGACCAGCAGGAAATTCGAAAGCTGCTGCACAAGGGGGGACTTCGATGCGTGATTCATTCTTTGGTTTGCATACAAAACCTACGATTAAACAAGCCCCTTTCCCTGATAAGGATGTTGGAAAGAGATTGGTGGACTTCTATTTCGAGCATGCAAATCCTCAGATACCTATATTACATCGAGGAGAATTCATGAAAATATTTGAGGAGGCATATGCGACTGGGGATACCAAAATTAGGACTCCTCGAGAACTCTATATGCTCAACATTGTGTTTGCCATTGGCGCTGGAATTTTCCTTGGTGATTCGGGCGCTCGAGAAGAGGCGGAAAAGACAATTAATGGCGACAAATCAAAGCGCACAACCAGTGGCAAACAAAGCCAGCCTGAGGAATATCACGCCTCAGCAATCGTTCATCTCGAAGCATGCCTCAGTTCTTCGGTAGATAGAGTTGATGGTTTCGGTGGCGGTTTGGAGGAACTCCAAGCTGTTCTACTCCTGGCAGGATTCGCGTTATTGAGACCTGTGGCTCCTGGTTTGTGGTACATTATTGGAGTGGCGGTTCGCTTAGCAGTTGATTTAGGTCTGCATTATGAAGATGGGAAGGATATTGAAGTTCCAAAATTGGAAGTACCTGGAGTAAAGAACGAAGACGCGGAGACTGCAAGATTACATCGGGAGCGTACAATGCGAGAACGAGGCCGTCGTGAATATATCCGAGATTATAGGAGGCGACTCTGGTGGTGCACATACTCCTTTGATCGACTTGTTTCCACGTGCGTTGGAAGACCCTTTGGCATTACCGATCAAGTAGTGACAACAGAATTCCCTTCATTGCTCGACGACAAATATATCACTCCTGCTGGTCTGCAGGACCCAGGGGTTGGCGGATCAAGTTACAAGCATGTGGCATATCATTACTTTCGCCTGAGACTGCTGCAGTCTGAAATTTTACAGGTATTGCAGCATCAACAAGCATTGCATGCGCGAGCGGGTGGTGCAAACTTACGCAATCCTTTCATGCATACACAACTACCATCTCCTTTCCTGGTGAAATTTGATAGCTTCCGTTCTTGGCGTATTGACATCGACAAACGCCTCTGGGAATGGAAAACATCGGCTCCTACCAAGCGGGACATGGGTGTAGAGTTCTCAGTAGACTTTCTGGAGCTCAATTATTGGCAATGTGTTATCATGTTGTATAGACAAAGCTTGAGTGTGCCACCAATGTTTGAAGGAGAATTTAGCACCAGTGAAGAGGTTGAGAGTCCCAGTATACATAATGTGGAGCTAAGAGAAGATGAGGAAAGGGTCTTTTTGAAAGTTGCCGAGGCGGGACAGAGAGTTCTGAGATTATATAGACAGTTGCATCGAGTGCGACTTGTCAATTATACTTTTCTGGCTACGCATCATTTGTTCATGGCTGGGATCTCATTCTTGTATGCTATTTGGCACTCTCAGGTTGTCAGAAGTCGTCTGGTAGGTTTGCATATATTCGTCTTATTCATTCAGATGGTTACTAATTGCGATTTCAGACAATGGATGAAGTTGACTTTACAATTTTGGCCGCGACGTCTGTCCTTGGGGATCTCATAGATAAATGTCCTCCGGCTGAAGCATGTCGAGATGCTTTCGACCGCATGTCCAAAGCTACGGTTCAGATGTGCATGTCTACTACTGGTTTCGGTTCCGGGGCTCAGCAGGGACTTCATTCAAGACGTCCCCATCATACTAGTGGGCAACATCACCTACAATCACAACCAGATGATTACTTCAATGCCAACAGTTCTCGGCTTCGAAAACCGCCACAGTCTAATCGCCCGAAGCCTCAGTTCGACATGGGTCTCAATGATCTTTTTACTCCTCAGCCTCCTCCAATTGGTACGAAAGGGCATTCTAGGGAGACTTCTGTCAACAATCAACCCAGGAAGAATTTTGCCAATGAAAGGCCAACTTCGAGAAATGGCACGGGCTCGAATAACGCAGTGAAGACGGAATTTGAAACATACAGAAATGATTCCAATTCTTCACAAATCAATTCACCAAACTTTGCCATCTCGCCTCCATTTAGTAATCTAGATAACAACATGAACCTCGATCCAAACCTTTTTCCGAACCAGCAGAGTCCAGTGCAAGGATATACATCAGCTCCAGGCCAAAGCCAAAATCCGGACATGTATCAATATGATCCTGCCAATGGAAACGGTGGCAACAGTAACGCCTATAATTTTGATTTTCAAAATGCACCGGGGTTAAGCTTTTTGAATTACGCGGGTGGGGGTTATGGTGGTGCAGAAGGATCGGGGGGAGATGACTGGGATTTAAGTGGATTTGATATGGGATTTGGAGAGAACTTGGGGGATGTTACGACAGTTGGGGGTGTTGGAGCGGGTGGTGGACCGGCGGGGATCAATCTACTCGATGAGTACTTCTTTGGAACGGGAACTTAAATTCTTGGAACTGATGGAATGAGTTATTAATTGGGTTAAGGAAGATGAATAGGGAAGGAGAACCCAGTATTTCCAAGCGAACCGCGATGGTGAAATAAGGCATGGCGTTTAGTGATAGGTATGGTGGACGGTTTTTTTTTAAATTTTATATTCTTGTAAGAATTCGCAACGTGGAGATGTATGTAAAAGCTTGGGAAACGATGAATGGGGTATTGGGAATAGGAAAAGGTCGGGGCAGCAGATGATGAAGTCATGTTATTATCATGTATATAGAGTATGCGGTTTGTACCATATTCACGAATTCACGAGTCGTTCTTTCTTGTTTTATTTCAGAACTATATTTTTGAAGTCTACAGTTAAGCAATCAAGGTTTTCGGGGTCTGTAGATATCTATAATTCGTATGGAGATTTGTATGTATGGGTCAGTATTTATGAATCCCTTTATCTACATCGATATGCGCAACGGCTTCTCACTAATAAAATCTTTTCGACTTCTTCGGGAATGGATTGTTGATACTGCTGGAGTTTAAATTGGGATGGAATCTACACATCTCTCAAGTGAAGTGTAGATATGGCATCATGTTACACGATTTATCAAACCCATATTCAAACTTCATATGCTGGATCATTCCTCAATAAGCTGAAAGAAAGTATGTCATTGGGGCAAAGGAGCTGCTAGGATCTTGTTGATAGGGGCAGATCTGTGAATGCGCGATGATTTCTTAGGGATCTTCATGTATTCCGACGAAAGAGTTTGAATGTAAGTTCAACGATTGTACAATCGGTTGTCACTCCCGAAGCAGTACTGGAGAGTTGGGAGAATGTCACAGTACCGACACATTAGAAAAAGGTTGTCGAAAGTCAATTTTCTACATCAGTTTCTAGAACCTTGATACATGCATGATGAATCCTGCATCATAAGTGCAGAGTGCAAGCTTCTTTAAGGGGGCACTTAAAGACTTCATCGATACAAGTCATTATTCCTGAATATCAACGTTCATTATACTAATGTATGATGTCTAAAGGTTCACTACCTGAAATCCCGAACTCCTCTCTAAATCCTACCCACCCCAGCTAGAGTGCTACAAACATGACGATAAAAGTCCAATTGAAACCAATCTATCATCATCACTTCTGAGACGTATTCCTAATTCAAGGTAAATTCTATGACATCTCCATTCCACCACCATTCTACCGACGGATTACGGTCTCCCTGTCCTCGCTCTCTTCGCCCTCTTCTCTCTCTTCTTCCACTCGAAGTTTCATTTTGTCTGTCACTTGAAATTTCCTCTCTTCTCGTCCCTGATGAAGATCTTGTAGCATCTGAGTTCCATTCAACACCGTCATTTCTCAACTCCCTAAGACAAAAAGCCAACCAGTTACAAATTTCTCCAGTTTCGTTTGTGAAACTCCGACCTCCTGTTAAATACTCCGATCGCATTCCGCGTATCTGTGGAGTGCTGTAGAAGTTCCACACAGATGTGCTTGAGTGGGAGAATCTGGATTGTATAAAGACATCGCAGAATGAGAGAAATTCGTTCCACCGGTAATCGGAGGCGTGGAATATCTGGCAGAGAAGATGTTGGTAGTGGGTGAATTGAGTGTATTGTCGTTGTGTGTCGAGGAGCCAGCGGGTGGCGTCGAAAGGTTGGAAGGTCTGAGGGCTGGAAGTTGGAGGGGGTAAGTAGTGCTGGTTGTCCATGTTGAATCAATATTTTACTAGTAGTATAGCCTCCAAGTAGTTTTATTGTAGCTTGAAGTAAATGAAATGCTTGTTTATCTTCATATTGAAACCGGGGCGTTGTAGAATATTTATATCAAAAGAGTCGCTTGGAAATAGAGATCATCAGCTTAAGGAGCCGGCCGGAAATATTCATATTCACAAGTCCTCAGTTGACATTCAAATAATTGAAAAATCGCTCATATGCTAATAAGTATGAAATATATTCAATGCTGTATTGATTTCATGGCAGTAAGTATTTGATCATGATTCATATCAGAGGCTTCTCCTTTTGTCAGTTAACCGGGCACAGAAAGGGGTCAGCGCCGTCTTTGGCGAATCACCACATACATGTTCACACTGCTTCATATAGTCCGTTCACGACTGAAAGAACAGGCGGCTCATGAATGTTTTCAAAGACACTTCCATATTTTCACATCCCTCGTTTGATGTCCTTGTTCAACGTGCTTGCCCGGGCGCGACTACAAAATCCGGACTGTAATACGATTCCAAAAGCCCCAGGGAATCCTTTCTTTCTAGATGTCATTTCATTGTTCAAAAATCAAAAATCATCCATTTTTCAATGATTCAAGATACGGATTGGCCCAAATCTCAATAGAATGTTCATTGTCGAAGTGTAATCCACTATTGGATACCCGAATATATAGGAACTTCATGCCCAATCCCCGGATTCATGTTGGGAAAAATTCATCAGGGCCACCCAATCATTTAGAATCATTTTTGGTTAAATTCTCCAAGATTGTTCAGCTTCTTGGTTTCCAGATCAAACTCTGCTAATGTCTTATCTCTCATCTCCACTCCTATCTCTCAACCAGCCCTCACCAGATACATTTATATCCCATCGCACTTTGCTCCGCCAAGCGAAGCAGAAGCCAACCAACACAGCTTTCAACCTCACCATCTCCCATCACTTTATTTCTACCACTCTGATACAAAACCTTCAAACCCTTTCCATATTCCTTCTTCAGCCCTGAAAACTGTACCGGTAGTCGAAATTTTCACGCCCGCTCTTTACAGAGTCTAAATACAATTCCACTCTCTAGATGACTATGCTTCGTTCTCAGAGCTTCACCGGAGTGTGGAATGAATCGACCCCAACAACTGTCTGGAGCACCGAAGATTTGACCGGGGAGATATCGTCTCTCGTGGAAGGCGCCTAAGGTTCGAGCGCCTTTGAACCAGGCACTGTACCAGGCACTGTGGCCGTAACTTGGGGTTTGATGGGGAGATGGACATGGAGATGGCAGTGTAGACGGCGAGGATAATGTAGATTCTGGGCAAGGGAAAAGTTTGCGGAGAAGACGACCGATTCTTATTGTGACACTCAAGATATGATCTTTTAGCAGATTAAATTATCAACTTATTAATTGCAAGCATAGGGTTGATATGGTTGAGAAGCTGGAAATTTATTTGTTTGCCATGCTCTAGATATTCTCTGTTCCTTGCAGCGGGATTAGATGGTTCTTGAAGCATCCGGACGAAGGTCTTGCCAAGAAAAAAGTATAGCTTAGACGGATGCCATACATGCGCCAGATCCCTCTAACTGAGAAAATGCCATTATAAATTTGATTGAATGTTAGATAGTAATGGAAATGACAGACAAGTAGAAGTGGAATATCCCTTTGTAAGTGAATAATACCTCTTCTGGGATACCGACTGCCCGAAAGGGGTAATTTTTGCTAAGATGGCTGTAGATAGAATTGATCGTATTTAAACAACTTTTAATCGAGCTTTCGAATTTTTCTTTCCTTCATCTGAGCCGCTGGCGCAAACATTGTAGTGTTTTCTGAAAGTTGGATTGTCGAAGAATCTTTTTGCTGATGTTAACGATGAGACAATAGTTTTCAGCTGCTAGTTACAAGATGCGATTAATTCACTATTTCTGAAGCAAATTACCTCGACTTGACATTGAACAGTGATTCGCAATATGTTTTCTGCCAGATTTGACATTTCTTCTCGGCCTTCCATCTGCCATGAATTCATTGACTCTATGTATTGACGCGACTTTTGGAACGCTCGGTCGAAAAAGCGATGATTGGACTGAGAATGCTCTATTCCCAAAGACAAACTCTGTGTTTCTCTTCTCTTATCGTCTCCTTCAGGATTGATAGCAAAAGCAACTCGAATGTTTGTCATTCCACCGTCACAGTGTAACGCTTGTTACATCTGGCAGATATTTGAGCTACAGTACTAGGGCACAGCTGTTTGCCGAACACCAAAATCACACCAAAACTCATATACATTATCTATATACTTTTTAACAATAGTATAGATTTTATTTATTAAATTTTATATAATTCTATTCATTTTCAATTAAAATTTAATAAAAATTAAATAGTTTATTTTTAGAGTTTTTATACATTAAGATATTTATATAGAAAGTTAGTACAAATTGAAAATACTGAAATTTACTAGTAAAAACAAGCGAAAATCAAGAACTTTTCTTTTGATTTAGATTAAACCTTATAAAAAATAATATCTATATATTTTAAACTCAAAAGAATTATCAATTTTAGTTATTTTATTATATTATAAAGCTATATTTAAAGTTCTAACTAATTTTAATGATTTTGGATATTTTCTTTTTATTTATATAAATAGAGCAAAATGCCCATTTTTGGTGTGATTTTTGAAACCGATGAACAGCTGTGCACGGTTACTGTATGAACTGATAACCGATTTCCCTACTATGTGCACGTCCCTGCTATATGCACAATCTCGATCACCCTTTTGAATAACTTTAAAAATTAATAACAATTCCAATTTATAAGATAAAGAGCTAGCAATTTAATTGATAAATGATAAGATACAATACTATCTAAAAACATAATAAAATCTTCAGATTTTGAATTTCGATAGAATTCGTAGTACTCGCCCTCTACTAGATCACAATATAACCTCCTCCTCCTTCCCCTTCGAATTATTAGTTTCTATAATATCAGAAAGCTCTATAGTCTTTATCGATATTAGATTTATAGTAGAAAAGCTTTGGGGAACTTTTTATTTCTTTTGATTAGAGATTTTGTTGATTTTAGAGTTTTTTTAATCTCCTCTTTTGTATTATGTATAATCTGATAATTAATCTCTCTCTGCAATACCCTCTCTTTCGTTTCAATCTCCTTCTATTCCTTCTCAGCTTTCTTTTTAACTTTTATTTGAAGTTTAGCTTTCTTTTCTTACTCCTTTTTAAATACTTTATCTTTTTGATATACTTTAGCTTTAATAATAATAAAAGATAATTATAAAAATATATTATTCCCCTTTTCTTTAATAAGATTTAAATATTTTGAATAAGCTCTTTTCCTTTTTTCAAGTTTTAAAACCTTTTCTAAACTTTTAGATCTATATCTCTATATAGAAGTTTCAGTTTTTAATATAATTATAGTATCACGGGGCAGGCGGGCTGGATAGGGTTCTAATAACTTTGCCCTAATCTGGCAAGGCTATACTGATTCGGGTAATAGGTTCAGATTGAGGATTAAGACGTAGCTCAAAGAGCTACAATACAGGATCTTCTGAGTTGAAGATATACGGAATTCTCACAGCGAGCTAGCCCGATCGGGCCCTAGCTCGCTTGCGCTCCGGTGCGAGCGCTCCTTTCGGTCCTCTCCGATAGGACCAGCATATCACGTGAGCTCACACCGTGACATATAGTTTTAAAAAGCTTTAAAGTGATTTTATAAATAGAAATACAATAAAATTCTAATTTCATTTTATATATCGCTTTTGATATATATAATATAATAAGAGTATTCCTATAAGTTTTAAATAATATAAATAGTATAAGAGGAGTTTTCGAAATAATACAATTGATTATAAGACTTTTATTTATAGAATATATGCCTATTTTTTCGAAGGATCGTAAGATATTATGCCTTGTACAAATAAGCTCCCAAGCCTTTTTAAATATACCCCAAAACATACACTTTATTATATCAACAATCTGTCACGGGATCACTTCTGGGAGTATTCAGAAGCTTTACCGCTGAGCTAAACGCCCAAAAGACTAGGAGGTAGAACTGGAAGTTCTACCTTACTCTCACATATATAGCAGGACAGGACAGGACAGAAAGGGCTTAGTGTCACCCCGTGACACCACCCCCCTCCTTAAGGTATGGTCTCCATACCATCACCTACTAGGAGGTTTCAGGATTCAGGATTCTGGATTCTAATGCCTCAGGCATTCAGACAGGCAGACAGGATCTATATATGCTAGCCCCCAAACCAATGAAGGCTTGTAAGCTATAAGTGGGCCCCCCACACAGCTCCACTTATAACCAAGGGTAGTTCTACCTAATGTCACGGGATCACCTCTGGGAGTATTCAGAAGCTTTACCGCTGAGCTAAACGCCCAAAAGACTAGGAGGTAGAACTGGAAGTTCTACCTTACTCTCACATATATAGCAGGACAGGACAGGACAGAAAGGGCTTAGTGTCACCCCGTGACACAATCCCCTTATTATTATATATCAAATTATTCAATAATATATTATAATTTATTGAAAAGACACCGAAGATTCTAACGTTGAGAGATTGTAATCGATATATAAAATAAAAAGAGAGAATTAAAATAATAATCTTTAATTCATTACATTTTGAAAGGAATTCCATATTAATATAATTAGAATGATTATTAATAATAAATAAACAATATCTTCCACCTACTTTTCGATATATAGCAAGATCGAATACGTTTATAAGCCAATATAAGCCAAAAGTATTCGACGATTATCTATTACTTAAGGCTTTAAAATAGGCTTTATCCTTCTTCCCTATATCCTGAACCTATATATCTTATAAATCCCTTAAGTCTCCTTTATAAATAAGAGCAGGAAGAAGAGCTATCCTATCAGCATATATAACTACTAATAGAGTAATAAACTCTCTTGATCCATCTTACCTAGCTTTTATCACTCTGCCTCTATTATAGATACTAACACTCATTATTTTCTTTATAGTCCTCCCTATACCAATTATAAAGCCCTTCTCATTCTAATTATATATATCTCTCGACCATATATTATATTTTATAGTTATTTTTATTAACTAAATTAAAAAAAGAAAAATATTAGTAAAAGCGTTTTAGATAATAAAGATCAACAACAATAGAAAATAGCTTAAACCAGATTATAAAAGTAATCAAATATAGTAATATTATTAGCTTTTATATATAAATTATTAATATAATAAAGATATCGACTTTTAAGATATATTGAATGTTTTTTAATAAAATTATTAATTCAATTCTTTCCCATCTCTTTATTTAGAATCTCTTCTACAAGATTTTTGATTATATAGTTTGTAGAAAGGATAGATTTCTATATCAGCTTATTGATTTGATTAATTAAAACCTTCTTCTAATTACTAAAAAGCGTTTATTTTGTATTGAAGAGAAACTGTTTTCTCGAAGTGATTTTATTTCTATATTATTAGAAAAATATAAATCGATTAATTTTAAAGAAATTAGCTATCTAGATATATCTAGGAGCTTGAACCTCTTTCAAATAATCTAATACAAGCTCTATACAAGCCTCTAAAAATATATCATCGATATTTGAAGCCATAATATTAATATTTTCAAAGTCGTGCACGTAGTAGGGACGTGCACATAGTGGGGAAATCGGTTATAGCTTGGTGCGGTGGATATAAGATTGAATGTCACGTGTCTCGTATATGCAGTCGGGGATTTGGGATCCTGAAATCAGAACAGGTCTACTCGTACCATTTTTTTTTAGTTCTGTACGTTGCAATCAATTCATAGATTTTCAATACAAATATGCCTAGATCCCGCAAGCAAAAAAGAATGATGGCATATGAGGCGAACAAGTTGAAAAACATTGCTCACATTGAAAAAACTCCTCAATTTGTACTTCTTCTACCTCTCATAGAAGACCCATCCTCCAATGTGTCTTCCGCTCTCGATGCTCATTCGGCTCTCACTTCGAACACAATTGCTAATGTAAAGAAAGAAATTTGGGCAAATGGCAAAACATCCCCCGCAGATGGATCCGACCTGCTCAGAGATCACCCTTATGACACCTGGTGTGCACTTTTTGTACTCGTCGATCGGACATCACCTGATCAACAACCTAGACTAATCGAATTCATCATTGGTCTTCAGAAGATTGAAGTTATAGACAGAGACACGGATCAGTCGAAAGTTTTGAAGTATTATGACATGGAATTATGGAGACAGTTGCCAGGCTTCGGGTGGGAGGCTCGTGAGATTTTACAACACTGGTTCGTTTGTTACCTTCTCATTTCTGCTCAATTCCCTCATAAAATTAACTTCGTGCGAAGATGCATATTCCTCCACATTGACAGACAGAGAAAAGACTTCGTATGAAAACAAGAACGCATTTCTAGCGCAACTTTTAGCAATAAGTGAGGTCAGCATTGGAGTTAATGAATTTGAACCCCTTGATTTCTCACTTTTTGCATTATGGGTGTTTCGCGATGCATTTGAGAACAAAGGAGAAAAGAGTAAGAATTTGAAAATGCGGGTGGCATGTTGGTGGCTTGTATTTGCAGCCGAGAAACTGCGGTTGAATGTCGTCAATGAGAAAAGTATGCCAGATAGAACTGGAGCTGGTGGAGACTTGTATGAGAAGAAGGGATGGGTCGGTTATAGTAGGGAGAGGTGGGATATCTGGAGAGAAGGCTTGAGGAATGCCGATGGCGATCGAGAGACGAGAGAGTTGATCAGTGATGCTTTAGCGTGTATGGAACGAGTTACAGGTTTTGAGTCTTGATGATTTCATACCAGTATTCGGTTCCCATAAAATGGAAGAAGCAACCACGAACTCCCCCAAATCTTCTTTCCCAGAGTTTTTTTATCAATCAATCGGTCCTATCCAAGCGCATTCCCCAATCCAACAATCAAGTTATGACATTGATCACTCAAAACAATAGAATAACATGGGTAATTCCCAGTGTACTATAGCGAAATCCTCTGGTATTTATAACGACGGTTTTGCGTCCGCGATGTGCAGGATGCGTCACGAGTTGTGTGTGATTTTGGCACCTTGGTGTTAAATTTGTGGGAACGGTATCTCAGAACTCAATTTCCGACAGCAATACAATATTGCCTAGATAATGAATGCAAGTTCAAGTACCACTCATGCTATGATTAATGTATAGTTACGCGCATCATCATTGGGAAGGGATAGAGTTGGGCTCACGCCTTTACCTGGATTCGCAATATCATTAACATTGCTCACTTAGCAGCCACAAGAGAGATCAAGATCTGGTGAGAGGCCTTGCAAAAGGTCTAATCTATCATTTTCCCCGACTATCCGAGATATCTGGAATTCTAGGTAGATTCTTGGGCTGAGCAGCTAAAATATTCGGCTTTGAGCTTGGTCAGAATCGCGTCACACTGATACGTGGCTAGTAATTTCCGTTTCCAATGATTAATTGTATGATAGACTTTTTAATTGAACATTATGTCGAGATAAACAGTACATATTGAATTTGAGAAGGATGAAAAGATCCACCTTCAAGCTGTTTTTGCCAGTGCCTATCAATTACCTTCCACTCGCGTGAGAATTAAGCTTGATTAAGGGGTACGCAAACGAAAAGCGCAACAGGATCTTTTGCTTTACATCGAATCAAACGACATCTCCAATTTATACACGTACCTAACTGATATAAAGCAGGTATGCTTGATCACACCGTATCTCATCGGAGAGACCATGAACACAATGTCTCGTCTTCTCAAGATTTCGCCTGAATTTTGAGAAATCATTCTTAAATACGTCCTCCATAAGAACCCGCATTGGAGTATCACAACATGGACTCATGGCGACGATCAATTTTCACTGTACTTGGATGTAAAAAAACAGTTGATTCAAAAAGAGCCAAGCCCCGGATTCAAGCATCGCGCATCTCCAAACGACTCTTTTTTTCCCCTAATGCGACTAGACTTAAACTCTAACACTTTAAACTTCTTTGTGATAGTGAGCATTGAGAACCAGTATTATACTTCCTTCAGACTTTTGACACGTATCTGCAATATTTTCTCCCTATCCCTCGCTAGTCTACGTAAGCGTCATCCACCAAACGTAGGAACGAGTGAAAAGCAAAGAAGGTATCCAAATTTAATTAGCATTTTTTCAAGTGCATTCCAAGATCGCCAATCGTACCAACTAACCATAAAACCTTCACTAATATAGATTGTACTGCTGTCAATCACTTCCAGCTTACACATTAGCTCTAGAAAAATAGATTTCATCATAATGGATTTGGCTACCATTGTGACAACCATACCCCTAAGGGCCCTAGAGCCGATCTAATCATAGATATATGCATATTCAGACTATCACCTTCTTCTGACCTCCATACTCAAGCTTGGCGTACTAACACCCTTAGATCAGTCCAATGAGACCTCTAGTGTCGAAAACTCCGTAGAAGTCTTTTATCCCACACATTTCTCATTTCTATTTTTATCACCTTATCATAATCGTCACTGCTATCGAGATATCATCACCATTCACAATTATCAACATTTATACCTCTCCCTTGGTACAGCAATACATCACCTCCAATTTACCGAATAATTCGATGAAACACTTACTGCCATCATTTTGACACATATCTCATCGAATATCAGTACTTGAAACCAACGAAAGCACAATAATTGCACCCATCCAATCTTTTTGCTCCCAGCGTCTGGATACTCGCGTGGGGAAAACCTTAAGCGAATGTGAGTGCAACCCGATCAAGACATTTGTGTAGGTTCACAAGTTGATTCGTTTCATCTGCAGGCTTCATCCGCTTCCCCGTTAGCTTGGACCTGAATATTATTATATCGATCAATTTAACCCACAAATCGGGTGTTTGAACCGTCTGGACTACAATCAGACGTTAATTTCCTGGTTCATTCTGAACACTCAGCCTAGATATTGAAGCCTCTTATACATAACAACTGCAGCTATGTCAGACTATTCGGATTTGCCATTGGAACTTGAACTTCGAAACCAAATTTACAGAGATACAATAATCCCCAAGTTAATAGCAAAAGCGCAGAGATTCAGTCCATATGACAAGTTACGAAAATACTTTCAAAACAAACTTCGCGCTTGGAAGTCGCAACAACGTAAACTTGCCAAGGCTCAACAGCAAGGAGCTCCGGCTCGTAGACGGAGACAATGCAGGGGCATCAAGCCAAGAGCCGAAGAACAAAATTCACCAATGAAAGCTCATGGAATCCGCCGTTCACCTCAAACGTTACGACGAGAAAGAGAAGCGTTACGTCGCTGGAAGATACGATACGCTAATCAACCACCTCCCAGTCCACGAGATGAAGCTACCGAGTCTCAACTGCCAGAAGCTCCGGCTCGTAGACGAAGACTATGCAGGGGTACCAAACCAAGAGCTGAAGAACAAAAATTCGCCAATGCAGACGCACAACCTCTCGGGCCATCTCGAATGTTACGACGAGAACACAAAGAAGCGATACGTCGCTGGAAGTTACAACAAGTTCATCAACCAGCTCTCAGTCAAAAAGATGAATCTGTAGATTTACAACAATAGAATGAAGCTTCCGGCTCTCAATCACCAGAAGTTCCAGTCCGCAAAAGAAGATTAGTCAGAGGCATTAAAGCGCAACCAGACACCCAATTATTCTCGTTGCAGTCCAATACCATAGGTGTTGATCCTTCTATACCCCCCGAACATCATCAATATTTCATGAGTGTATCCACTGAGATGACTCAGTTATCCTCAGAGAACTCATTTTTCCTAATTTGATGCTTGAAACTAACTTTCGCCCTGGACTTCTGAAAATACTATCACGAGCCTAACGAGCAATTCATTTCCTTCGTCATCTTCACGCAATTTCCAGTCTCTACTTATCTCGACTTCAATATACAACCTGATACAACCAACTATCACCTACTATCAGATTGATCCACCATCTTCACATCATTTTCGGCCATTCGATACCTAGCGACTATATTCTTATACAAAACAATACCGGATCATTAAGACTACCCGCAGCGTATCATAAACTTCAGTTCAAAATTCTCACTCATATCAGCCTTAATAAAACACATCGCAAAGCAGTATTTGCTAGCTAGCAGATTAATCTCTCCAGTTCTCCTCACGATTTACACTTTAAATCTTAATGTTTAATATTCAGCATCCAATCTTCCCAGTCTGAACTGAATCACCGGAGTCTCCCACAATTCATCTATCAAAACATATCACCATCCGCGATACACCAAACTCTTAAAGGATGATGAACATCCGACACATCAACGAACAAAAGGTGCATCATTTAGCAATGGTGGTCATGAGGATATAGTATTAAGAAAACACACCTACTTTTATCATTAACCCTCCAAAAGTAATAAAATGTCAGAATAATACGAGAAAATACCAGAATGTATATTAGTATCACGTATCTACCCAGTGTATTTATGTAGCGAATCTAATTAAAAACTCAGCATGTTTTATTTTGGCTTCCTTGCATCTTCTGTGAATGAGTTGTGACAGTAATAGCCCATTCTTGGCACCATATTCAGAAGCCTCCATCTAGGTACAAAACTATTTCATAATTCACTTGTCCTTCCGACCAGTTTGTCTTTGGTGTGGACCTCAAAACGAGTTTCTAATTTCAGTACTGAAGGGAGTTTTGTTGCATATCTGAAATTTTATCCTCGTACGTCGATAGAGGAAATTTCTGAATTTCTTTGCTCTTTGCTAGCTAACGTGCGTGAGCAAGCTCAAAATTATTAATTTTCAGATATGCAACAAAATTATTCTTACAGTAAAATTAGCAATAGATCCCTATCCAACCAAACTTATCCCAAAAATACATTCAAACCTTCCCGAAAATTTTACAATTTTACTATGGACCAAATCACCCTATCTCTCCTTCCCTCCGGAACCACTAATCGTTTTCCTTCTCTTCTCTCTCCTTGAGCCATTCACCCCATTAGTCTCGCGACCACCTGTCTCGTGCTCGCCTCCATCTTCTTTCTCGCCCCTCTTTACATCCATCCCATTGCCAAACCATCCCCACTCCTCCATCCACGTCATCGGCGCAAACATCACTGCCCCTACTATACATAACAATGTCGCAATCAATCTCCAAAGGCTAATGATTTGTGTTCCACCCGCCAGAAAACTTGACGAGTTCTGCAAGATTGATAGAGATCTCTTGGTGCTTTATAAGGTATTTGGTTTCGGATGCTGAGGAGCTGGTTTGAGAAGATTCTTTGATGGGGGAGAGATTAAGGATTGTGGTTAGATATACTGTTGGATAGAAAAATGGAAGGAAGAAGAGGTGGAATTGTTGATGGAGTTGGAGAAAGAGAGTTTGCGTTTCTGCGTTATATTCTGGAATTGATAAAGATTAGTAATGGCTCCAAATTACATCACATAGTTCCATCCCATCAACTCCTCTATCCTTGACCTCCTCCATATCCCCATTTCCCCGTTCCCACCTTCTCCTCCCTTTTACCTGACTTTCCCCTTCCTTTCCCCTTCCTTTCCACTCCATGCCAATCATAAATCATGAGAAAACTCACCAACTCCATCCACTCCCACCACAACCCTTGGACTCAGCACCTTATACCATTTATACACACACCCCAATACCCATCTACTATTGACCTCTCCAACCACGGGTAGTCGAACAGAAGAGAAAGAAGGTACCGAGCACAGTGGATGCGAGAACGATGCGTCGGGGGTGAAATACTGTTGTAGAGCTTTTTGTTGGGCGGAGGGAGCCCCGGAACAGAGGGTGTGGATCAGAGATGTAATTTGTGATTCTACATTCAATGATTAGTAAGGTGTTCAAGGGAACAGTGAGTGAGATGAAGGGAGAGAAGGAACGGGAGGATAACATGGGGATTCGAGGTACTATTGCGATTCTCCTAGCGTGAGGATAAGATTCCTTCAATTTTGAATCTTGAACTTACTTGGATTATCCATTTTGATTGAATTTCTTCACTCGCTGATTGCAATTGCGTAGTCTATCGAGTTATATTTTCTATTGGGTGAAAGAAATGTCGATTGCAGAACCAATGAATGAATTGCGCGCATCTTTGAAAGAAATCGAATGTTGAAACCAAACACCTGCATTGATCGCGACGATGATGTCACAAGCGAAGTGGGATAGAGTTTCCAGGATCTCGGTTCCTTCCGTTGACATGTGAAATATGCCCCCCCTTTCCATAAAGAGGTAAGCGGGAAAGGACTGAGCTGCTTTAGAACCTTAATTTCGATGTCGTTTGTGTTTCACATTTTATTTTGATATTGAAATATTTCCAATGAGATAAATCTAATTTGTGATAAATTAATGAGTTCTTTTGATCTTGATTACCTAATACCGGACCTAGAACCAGTCCAAACATCATAAATCATAATTATACGCTATCAATTCTCTGTACGACGATCGCCGTCGCCGCACCACCACCATTGCAAATCGCTGCAACACCATATTCTCCGACTTTTAATTGATGCAATAATGTTGTGAGAATCCGTGAACCCGAACTTCCTAGAGCATGGCCAAGTGAGATTGCTCCACCAAGTAGATTAACTTTTGCGTTCTCAAGTCCGAGGATCTAGATTGTGTAAGTATTTTCGTTGATCAATCCGATCGAGTGGGACAAACCTTTTCATTTGCCTTGATAACTGCTGCGAATGCCTCGTTGAACTCCCAAATTGCTACATCTTCCTTCTTGATTCCAGCTCGTTCTAGAGCAAGTGGCACTGCTTTGGCGGGAGCTACTGGGAAATCAATTGGATCAATTGCAGCATCTGCAGAGCCACAAATTCTTGCTAATACTCTCGATCCGGTTCCATATTGTTGTGCAATGGCTTTGTTTCCCAATACCAATGCGCTGGCGCCGTCATTAAATGTCGAAGCATTGGCAGCGGTAATTGTTCCACTTCCATCTCTAACAAATGCTGGTTTTAATGAGGAAACCTTATCGAACTTGACATCCAGATAACCCTCATCTGTATCGATGATCGTGTCGCCCTTTCGACCCTTTACGGTTACCGGGGCAATCTCCTCTTTGAATGCGCCGACTTTCCATGCTTCTTGCGCCCGTTTATATGATTGGATAGCGTATTCGTCTTGTTGTTCTCGTGTAATTTCATATTTCTTTGCCGTGGTCTCCGCGCATACACCCATGTGAAATTGGTTGTAAACATCCCATAGGCCGTCTTTAATGAGCCCGTCTTCAGCTTGTACATTTCCAAATGGAGGAAGACTGCTAGCTCGAGGATAATAATATGGTACTCGAGACATGTTTTCCATTCCTCCCGCAATCTGCGCTTCTGCGAGACCAAGTTGGATGTTTTGTGCAGCTAACACAACGGCTTTCATTCCGGATGCGCATACCTTATTGATTGTGGTCGCTTCAACTGATGAAGGGAGGCCAGCGAAAATAGCAGCTTGTCGAGCTGGTGCTTGTCCAACACCACCCTGCAATACGTTTCCCATGTATACATCTGAGATTTTTTCGACCGGAACTTTGGATTTCTCGAGTGCAGATTTGATGGCTACAGCGCCAAGTTGAGGGGCATTCACAGTAAGAAATGACCCATTGAACTGTCATCCCGTTTAGTTTTCGTCAACTTTAAATGATACATTGAAATAGATCGAATTACCTTTGCAGTAGGTGTCCTTGATGCACTCAAAATGTATGCATCTTGAATCTCTCTTTTGGCCGAGGTACTTGCGCTGAATTGCCGTTGAACTTGTGCTAACCGTGATGATGGAGACGACATCCTTAAATTTCTAATCGAAGATTTGGCAGTATGTGAAAACATGATGAATGTGTTTGGAGGATTCACAAGACAGGAGAGCGTTGATCAAGCCAAAAGACTTTATGGAAAGAAGGGAAGAAAAAGTGATGAATGAGTTGCTTCTGATCAATATTCAGCATTGATTGTCCCGATTGTCCCGCGGTTAGCACCGGCGGAATGTATTCCATATTCCATTTACCCCAGAGTAAAATGCTCGGACCTACACGTGCCCAGGTAGCTGTGAGACAGCCACTAAGCCCATTCTGCTGTAGCTTATCGTCACAATCTCCACGTGACTTCACGATAACATGACTCAAGGATCCTTGCTCGAGCCTTGTTTGCGTGGCGGTTCTGGTGGACAAATCTTGCATGAAGGGGTCAAAAGGGTTGAGTGAAAGCGGTCTATAATTATTATGGCTGTTGGTACCGTGCTGGGCCATTGTTAATGAAAATTCGAATCACACCAACAAAGTCGTGAGACCTCGATACGTCTCTGTATAACATCGAAAACGCTCAAGTGAATTGCGAAGTCTTCTTCACTTTTCTAGAACTGGTCATTTCATTCCTTTCCAATCAAAACTTTCCGATAAACCCATCACACAAAGTCACCATCATTCCATCCTTTGCGGCAGCCGACATAAACTTCCGCCGCCGGCTTTCACATCGGACACTAATATCCATCTGATAGAACTTGCTTTTCGGCATACCTCAAAGCTATCACTCAAATAATAAAACATTCCCATTCATCCAAGTCCAACGCGATCCAACAAGAACTCCACATCCTGATTCTTGGTTATCATTCGCACAATTCTCCATCATGTCTACAGCTGCTCGTCGTCGTCTCATGCGCGATTTCAAGGTTAGTGGCAATCATTATCCAGGAACGGAGGGGTACCCAGATAATTGGAGAGCAACTCTAACGCTCATCTACAGCGCATGCAAACTGATCCTCCCGCTGGTGTTTCCGCATCTCCTGTTGCAGACAATGTGATGCTTTGGTTAGTCTCCCCGAAGAAATTCTAATATTCATGACTTGATGCCAATAATGAAACTGTTAGGAATGCCGTCATTATCGGTCCTGCAGATACTCCCTTTGAGGATGGAACCTTTCGACTCGTCATGACCTTCGAGGAACAATATCCAAATAAGCCTCCTGCCGTCAAGTTCATCAGCCAAATGTTTCATCCTAATGTTTATGCAACCGGAGAGTTGTGTTTAGATATTTTGCAGAACAGGTGGAGTCCTACATATGATGTTGCGGCTGTTTTGACAAGTATTCAAAGGTACATCAATACTTCACAAATGGTCTGTTGGTTTCCAGATATATGTACTGATCTATGAGTAGTCTTCTTAATGACCCAAATACTGGCTCGCCCGCCAATGTCGAAGCTTCCAACTTGTACAAAGACAACAGAAGAGAATACACAAAGCGTGTTAGGGAAACGGTGGAAAAGAGTTGGGAGGATAATTGATGATGGATTTTCAAACATTTGAGAAGCTCATATAATGGCTGAACTGCTTTGAAGCACACTCAACGTGATTCTTTACCTGGTCATATTTACGTTACGCCTCTTTTAATGATGACATGGCGGGGTTATGGAGTTTTCGAAAGGGCATCTATCATGGAGTTTCCCTTCACAATATGTTTATATGGTTATTTTCTCGAAGAGTTAGTCAATAGGACAAGATTTTCTCTACCATGGTGCATCTCACACAGCATTGTTCGATATTTCTGAAGTATATCGTTTTGTTCAGACAACCTGCTTTTACCTATCGTAGATAATGTACATACATGCCACACGGTACCTATGGTAACACAGCACAATCGATTAAAAATGAATCACGGATTTACTTAGCAATTTTCTTTTGCTTTTCTGGATTCATCACACCGTACAAAAAGTATTCTTACTGGTACTGTTTGACAATCATAACAACTCATTGATATTACTCCTCATACAAGCATATCCCTAGTCATTACCGTACAACCTTTTCTGTATGGTCGCATTGCATTGACACAAATTTATTTCTTCCGACATTGCATTGGCCTTGGGAATTACTACGCGAAGATCTTTAGCGCGATTGTGTGTCAACATCCTCCCCTTATCAACCACTGACCACAAAGCAGTACTCAAATACAACGTTCTTTGAAACTGCAACGACAACATAAATTCTGAGTTCGACTCTTGTACATATGGTCGTTCCGGGATAGCAACCATCTCGCGATCATGTCGAACTCTATTAAGGTTGTCTGTCGGTTTAGGCCGCAGAATCGCATTGAGAATGAGCAGGGTGCTCAACCAGTTGTAAAATTCGAGGCTGATGATACCTGCGCTCTTGATGTATGTGTCTTGTGAAACTTAACTCTTTGAAGATACGGTACTCTACTGACCTCAGAGATAGTCAAATGGAGCGGCTGGTTCTTTCACATTCGATCGTGTCTTTGGCATGAGCTCACGGCAGAAAGATATTTTTGACTTCTCTATCAAGCCCACTGTGGACGATATTCTCAACGGTTATAATGGAACGGTCTTTGCATATGGTCAAACAGGAGCGGGAAAGTCGTATACTATGATGGGAACAAACCTTGACAATGATGATGGTAGAGGTGTTATTCCCAGAATTGTGGAGCAAATATTCGCCAGCATTCTGTCCAGTCCAGGCACGATCGAGTATACAGTGAGAGTCAGCTACATGGAAATCTACATGGAACGCATTAGAGATTTGCTACAGCCGCAGAACGACAATCTGCCAATCCACGAAGAAAAGAATAGAGGCGTCTACGTGAAAGGTTTATTAGAGGTTTATGTTTCAAGTGTTCAAGAAGTCTACGAAGTTTTGAAAAGAGGAGGGGATGCAAGAGTGGTAGCTTCGACCAACATGAACGCAGAGTCTTCTCGATCACATTCTATATTCGTTATAACGATCACACAAAAGAACGTTGAAACCGGGTCGGCAAAGAGCGGTCAACTTTTCTTGGTCGATTTGGCTGGTAGTGAAAAGGTCGGAAAGACTGGTGCCAGTGGACAGACGTTGGAGGAGGCAAAGAAGATCAACAAGAGTTTGAGTGCTCTTGGTATGGTTATCAACAATCTGACAGACGGCAAATCATCGCATATTCCTTATCGAGACTCGAAACTTACCAGAATTCTACAAGAGAGTTTAGGAGGAAATAGTAGGACAACACTCATTATCAACTGCTCGCCCAGTAGTTACAATGCCGAAGAAACCCTGAGTACCTTGAGATTCGGTATGCGAGCAAAGGCAATCAAGAAT